GATCACTAGAAACATCCGAATTATTGAGATTTAAATTACAAGATTTAGTACTACTTAAAGCAAAATGGACAGTAGCTTTCATACTGACTAAATGTGTCCTATCTTACCACATTTAAAACATTTGGCATTACGAAATGCACATGAATTACGAGAATAAAACTTTCCGCATGATAAACATTTATCAAACTTCATCTCACATTTGTGACTTGCTTTGTAATTCCTTGTTGAAACACCTTTCATATTTACACGAGAATAATAATCACTGTTGAACGAACGCAAGTTTGATTGACCGTGAGATTGTAGTTCATCATGACGACTAAGCAAAATATTAGAAATCTTCATCGACTGCATATCAAGTTCATTCACTGCCTCGTAGTTAATACACGCAGTTCTAGCATCCTGAAAGGAACAGTTTGGCATTCTTAACAGTTCTCTTTCCAAACCCGGTATCTTAATTCCTGCAATTACTCGACCTCTCAGTTGCACATGAAGTTACCTACGCCTGTTACTCCTAATCAAGCATAGGCCGCTAACCAGCATTCTCCAACTCACTCTCTCCTGGGGCTTCTTTTCTAGTTCCATCCAGTTCTTGTTCATTTTTCTCGTGTCTATTTCCATTTCTCTGCGTAATGTGTTCTTTAGTCTTCCTCTTTTCCTTTGGCCTTGAGGATTCCATGTGAGGGCTTGTCTTGTGACGCAGTTCGGTGCTTTCCTCAATGTGTGTCCTATCCACTTCCAGCGCTTCTTCCTGATTTCTTCCTCCGTTGGGATCTGGTTTGTTCTCTCCCACAGCACGTTGTTGCTATTAGTGTCCGGTCAACAGATCTGAAGTATTTTTCGTAGACAACTGTTAATAAACACCTGTATTTTCTGGATGATGGCTTTCGCAGTTCTCCAGGTTTCTGCCCCATACAGTAGAACTGTCTTGACATTTGTATTGAAAATCCTGACCTTGGTGTCGGTTGACAGTTGCTTTGAGTTCCAGATGTTCTTCAATTGTAAATATGCTGCTCTTGCTTTGCCAATCCGCGCCTTCACATCTGCATCAGATCCGCCCTGTTCATCAATGATGTTGCCCAGATATGTAAAGGTTTTTACATCTTACAAATCTTCTCCGTCAATTGTGACTGGATTGGTGCATGCTGTGTTGTATCGGAGAATCTTGCTTTTCTCTTTGTGTATATTGAGATCTACTGCTGCTGAGGCTGCTGCTACACTGTTCGTCTTCTCCTGCATTCGTCGTTGCGTTTGGGATAGAAGAGTCAGATCATCTGCGAAGTCTAGATCGTCCAACTGCATCCTAGATTTCCATTGTATCCCGTGTTTCCCTTCAGATGTTAACGTCTTAATGATCCAGTCGATCACCAGGAGAAAGAGAAAGGGTGAGAGTAAGCAACCTTGCCTGACACCGGTCTTCACTTCAAACGACTTTGTCAACTGTCCTCCATGCACGATTTTGCAGTGTAATCCATCATAGGAATTCTGTATGATATTGACTATCTTCTGAGGCACGCCTTAGTGTCGAAGAAGTTTCCATAGTGTTATTCTGTCCACGCTATCAAATGCCTTTTCGTAGTCAATGAAGTTGATGTAGAGCGATGAATTCCATTCAATTGATTGTTCCACAATGATCCGTAGAGTTGAGATTTGGTCTGTACACGATCTATCCTTACGGAATCCTGCCTGTTGGTCACGAAGTTGGGCGTCTACGCAGTCCTTCATCCTGTTTAACAATATCCTGTTGAAGACTTTTCCCGGTATTGAGAGAAGAGTGACACTCCTGTAATTATCACAGTTGCTGAGATCACTTTTCTTCGGTATTTTGATCAGGAGGCCTTCTTTTCAGTCTGTTGGTACTTGTTCCTCATCCAAAATCTTATTGAAGAGAATGCGGGGTATCCTTGCACTTGCCGCTACTTCTGCTTTCAGTGCCTCTCCTGGAATGTTGTCTGGTCCTACTGCTTTGCCACTCTTGATTTGTCTGATGGCCATGCTGATTTCTTCAATTGTTGGTGGGACAACATTGATTGGGAAGTCCGTGGGTGCTGCTTCGCTATTGAGTGGGTTCAGTGGAGCTGGTCGATTCAAGAGTTCTTTGAAGTGTTCTACCCAGCTGTTTTGTTGTTATTCTATGTTGGTGATTACCTTGCCTTCCTTGCTTTTCAATGGTCGCTCCGGTTTACATTGATTTCCAGACAGTTTCTTTGTCATGTCTTACAGTTGTCTCATGTTTCCTTCTCTTGCAGCCTTTTCCGTCGTCATTGCCAAATCCTCCACATATTTACGTTTGTCGGTTCTGATGCTCCTCTTCACTTGTTTGTTTATTTCTGTGTATTCAGATTGTGCCTTGGCTTTTTCTGCTCTTGTTCGACTGGTATTGATTGCTGCTTTTTTGTTCCTCCTTTCTTGAATCTTATCCAGTGTACCAACAGTGATCCATTCCTTGTGGTGGTGCTTCTTGTGGCCCAGGACCTCATGACATGTTGAAGTGATTGCCTCTTTGATCCCCCTCCAGTTACTCTCCACAGTAGTTCCTTCTCCATTGAGTAGATCATGAAAGGCCTGGAACTTGTTGCTGAGGACTATCTTGAATTTGTTGAGTTTGTTAGTATCCTGAAGAAAGGCTATATTGAACTTTTGTGATATTGTCCGCTCCGTTGTCCAGTGCTTCTTAAGTTTCAATTTCATCTTGGCGACCAGTAAGTGATGATCTGGTGCTATATCAGCTCCTCTCTTGGTTCTCACGTCCTCTACAGTCCTCCTGAACGTTTTGTTGATGCAAATATGGTCGATTTGGCTTTGCGTGGTGTGATCCGGTGAAGTCCATGTAATTCTGTGCATGCGTTTATGTGGGAATATGGTGCCGCCTATGATCAGTTTATTGAAGGCACATAGGTTTGAAAATCTCTCACCATTTTCGTTTCTTTCTCCCAGTCCGTGTCGTCCCATGATGTCTTCATATCCAGTGTTGTCCGTTCCAACCTTGCTGTAATGCTATCGCTGATCTGTTCTCAAGCTTTTTTTTACATCAATTGAGGATTTATTAATGTGCTTTAAGCACAGTTTGTGTTCCTTCACCCTCACATTCAGTTGCCTAGATGTTTCACCTACATACGTTGCATTACAGTCATTACACTTTATTTCATAAACACAATTCTGTTGATCATCCTTGTGTATTGGATCTTTGATTCTTACTAGTTTTGATCTTAGAGTATTGTTTGTTCGAAAGAATACTCTTATAATTTGACGAGTCAAAATCCTTCTGATCTCTTCTGAGATACCTTTACGATATGGGATCACTACTGTGTTCATCCAATCTTGCTTAACTCTGTTTTTAAAAATATCATTCCGTTCTTCATTATTAATTATTCTTTTAATAAAATCTTTCGGATAGAACTCAATTCATTTCCACTTTTATATCATTCGATTCAGTGACAAGTTTTTTGACTCTGGTGATCGAATTTTTGGCCACTTTCACTTTGGTCGAGTGTGGATGCGCAGACTTAAAATCTAAAAATTTCCTTGAATATGTAGGCTTTCGGAATATATTAATTTTTGAACAATCATTATCCTTCCTTTCAACCAGGCAATCTAGAAAAGGTAATCTGCGTTCAGGCGATTCCAACTCTTTAGTAAACTTGATTTTGTCATCTACGCTGTTGAACCGTTGAAATAGTTCGTGTAAACCATCTCGTTTTATAATGACAAAGGTATAATCTACTTATCTTACCCAAATTTTTGGTGGAATGGAACACATTGAGATAGTAATTGTTTCCAATGAATGCACGAATAAATTAGCCGCAATTGGAGAGATAGGTGATCCCATAGCCACACCTGTTTGTCTGTACAGAACTCCTCGAAAAATGAAAACCGTGGAATGTAAGCAAACTCCAACGCTCTAATAATATCTGAGGAGTCTAGAAGGCAACGCTGTTTAAGATGAGTGTCAGAATCTGTCAGGTTATATACAATATCTAAAGCCTTTTTAACAGTAACATTAGTGAACAATGAGCAAACATCAAAACTTGCCATTATTTCATCCTCTTCTATCTGAATATTACTGACAATGTTTTTGAAATCATTAGAATTTTTTATTCCATATTTTATTACGCTTTCATATGGTTTAGGAATTTTGGCCAAGTATCTAGAAAGATTATAAGTTGGTGAATTAATGTAATCAATCACAGGTCTTAGTGGTACATCTGTTTTGTGTATTTTTGGTAGGCCATAAAATCTACACGGGTTATTGCTTTTTGGATATAAAGAGAACCATAAAGATGATCCTAGTTTGGGCTTTAAATTCTGTAGCAATTTGGCTGTTTCAGCTTTCAAATTATTTAAAGTGGCTCTACATTTGCTCTTTATGATTTTTTTATACGGTCCATTATGGAGATGTTCATTGACTTTTTTCTTTCATAGTCAGAATTATTCATAACAACATCGGTGTTTCCCTTGTCTGCTCTCATAATAACAATTTTTCTGTCTTTCCGTAACTGTTTTAGGGCATACGTTTCTTCTTTAGAGATATTAGGCGTATTAGGTTTTTGATTCAAAATTACATCTGCGATTTTAAACCTCAGTGTATTTGCCTAACTCAGAGGACACAGCAAGCGGGTTCAAGAGACAAGAAAGAACAACATATCAATGACATTAAGGATTTCATACCAAGTCATCGGTTCTCGAAACTTTTTACCGTCCGTTCAATTAATTCATTCAAAAGAGGACGATAAACCCATAGAAGTTTACTGGGAGAGAACTAACACAGGCCATTGTCCTTCGGTCCTCGATATATAAGTTCGAACCTAAAGGTATGTAAACCCACCAATAACTGCCTGACTGACTGGAAAGGCTAAACCGTCGAATACCGTAGATTGCTAGAGACCTGGGAAGAAGTGAGCCCAAAGAAATCAGTCAGTTTATGTAAGCTCGCCACAAATATATTGGATACTTGAAATTTGGTGTTCTAGTAACCGGCAATATTTTAAATAAGTTGACAACGGTAAGATACGAACTAATTTACTTTAAAAACTGGCGGATTATTGTTTAGTTAAACCAATAAATTTATTTGGAAAATTTCAGTTAGTTGAATGATAGTTAAGCGAAGGATTTATGCTTATCTCATAAAAAGTATTCATTTCAACTTATATAAGTTGGAGTTATATTATATATCATATAGAAGTTGGAAATCAAGGCAGAAATTCTGAAAAAAAATATAAAAAATATAGCGTAAATATAGACGAATATGCGTCAAATTTTCGCTCTTTTCCCAGCCCGGGGAGATAGTATAAGTTTTCCTTACAATTCCCCTACGGAGGGAAAATGTCTCGAAATTGACACCTGCTCCTTCTTCAAAATATCTACTCTTCTCCAATATATATATCTCCTAATAAATTGTGTTTGCATAGATACTGATGTAGTATTAACCTTATTTAGAGTATTTGGACAGCTTTGGTGCTCAAATAGTGACTTATCGTGGAAATTTTCATTAGTTTCTTGCCAATAAAATGCTGTTTACTTGCTTATAAACTAGTGAGGTCCTGTGTTTCTATGAAATATACATTTGCTAGTGTAGCCAAACCATTGATGCTCCCCATGTGTGGGTTGTGCCACAAGACTAACAAACGCCCAATATTCCTGAGTTTAACAACTAGTTGTTGAGAATTTCTTAAGATATTTTGAAAGATTGTACCTGATGTCTAACTATCTTAATAGGAATGTGCTCGTTGAGAAAAATGACTGATCTCATTAACATTTCTATAGCCTAAACAATCTTTGGGTCAGATGTTTATGGTTGCATGTCCGGAGTCCGTTTATAATGTAAGTTGGTTGATATTGGATACCTCCGAAGACTATTAGTCCATTGGTTTCGGTTTATAGCACAATTTGCTTATGGGAGGTGTGGTTATTCCAAACAAGAGTGAGGTATCTCTTGAAGATGGATGTTGGCAGTGGTCTGACATGCTCATCGTTCTCAACATAAACTACGTTTTACTCGGATGAATAATAATGTGTTGAGATAGCCAAAACACTTCATTACTAAGAACACATTACACAATGGCCGGAAAACTCATTTGAATATGACGTCCATATATCTGCATGGTAACACTTAAATGCTGCTTTATCCCAAAAACATCCATAATGTCGTTCGTTAACACAATACTGTTTGAAGGTTTAGGATAAACCGAATGAGGTGACAGTCTAGCGGCAGATTAAAATGGAAATTCTATCAACAAGAGCAGTTTATAAGTGACTTAAGGAATGAACGGTCACAAATAAAGCAACAATAGTCTTGATATAATTTGAAAGCAAAGTTAAAAATGTTTCCTCGTCTTGTTCAATCTGAGAGCACTTCCGAATAAATAAATTTTTGTGTAAAACTAAACTAAAAACTCTGATTGTGTAGATCAAAACAATTAATACAAGCGGGAGATATTGTTTTCACTTGGAAATGGACGGAACCGTCAATGGACAGTTCTGTTTAACCATACTTCATCATCATTTTCATGTGACATATAAGACCCAATCATATTAAGCGACCCATCATATACCTTCGCATTCTCTCACTGTGTTTTAATCCCATTTTTACACTAGTCAGAAACTATGGAAATGTGAGCTAGTAACTCCATTCCATCATTTATTAAATATTTATAGTACTCATGTTCCTTCCTTGGTTGTAGGAAACTTAATAGAGGATTATAATAATTCTACATACATTTTGCTTCAATTTCCTCATGATTTTGTATCTCTTACTTATTAATTATTTAATTAGGCCGATTGCTCACTTTTGATTACATAATTTTCGTGACAATCCTTTTGATGAGTTTATTTTATCAGGCTGGGGTATTCATTTATGCTACTTCGGTTAATATTTACCATTGCTAGTGTACTTACAATTCTATCATCAATTTCACTTTTTTTTAATTATGAGCAGTTGTGTAATCCACCTCGTTATCGTCTCTAACATGAATTTTCTTGACTGATCTATTCTTCGTATGGGTGTATAAATTTTGCCGTAAATGGAAATAGAGCTTGATGAAGATCTAATTGAAAACAATATTGCTCATCTCTGTGTTTAACGAAAATTTTATTTGGTTAACATGTTACTGTTGAAACTCCGACTTTAATATAATATTAATAAACCTGTGATGCATGACTACATAGTGTTAAATAATTGTGTTTTCTGATTTAACGTTAAGTTCATTAGGGTAAACTAAATATTGCCATTCATTAATCTGAAGTAGATGTAGTTCATGGTAAACTTTGCAGATTTTACCAAACGACTGTCTGATCTTATTTGCAGTGCAACTTAATAATTAGACAAACTCAAGTGATTCTAGGGTTCTTTGTGGTGAGACTAAATTAACATATAATTTGTAATAAACTTATGAAAAATATGATTGATCTAAATTTTAAAATTAAACATAATCAATTTTACGAAAAGTACGAATGTTTTGACAAAAGCAAACGAGGTGAGCGTAAAAAAATACCAGACTGGAAATTTTTGAAAACACCGTAACCTTGAGGTTACTACTAAGACGCATTAGACACAAATAAACAGTAATATCTTCGCTTCAGAATTTGAAATCTTGATTTCAATACGTGTTCTAATTTCTATTATCATTTGGTGGGTGAGAATGTTAACTTGTGTCGTCTGGCGAATGGTTTTGCTGATGGAAAAAAAGATGCGACCGTTTGGTAACTAGAAAATCATACTTTCGTAAAAGAGCGACGTATTCAGTGGTGGTGTGGGATTTTGAGAACGAACCTGAATACAATGTCTACCCCGTTGACACTGAGCTCCATACAAGCTGAATTTATTGCTGTAGACGTTTCTTTTGGCTCATGCGTAGCTTTAAGTGGGCATTTGTTAACATGTTAAGTTTTCAAATTACACTGAAAATTGAAAACGCGTATATTGACACGGTATTTTAGATGTGCTATTTTACTTATCTTGGTTGAACGTAACATATTTAAGGAGATTTCCAAAGATATAATACATTTAAATAAGTATTTTCTTATCGGTAGGATATTCATGTACTATTTTAAAAATTATTCCTCATTCATACTTCAAAACTTTTAGAATAATCCTGGACACTTCAATCACCGAAAAGGAATATATAAACATCATATTACTCCCACAAACTGCAAACGCTTCAAATTAGGTTGATAATCAGTACTAAAGAACCCTACATGACAACAGGTAAATCTAGGGATTTTTAGTGTTATGTCACTGAGTTGCTTTTTACAGGTCCTGAAATTTCGAAGGGTTTAGAACAATGGAATACCGATTCGGGAAAAAATGCAATTTTACAATACGGATTTGAACTTATCAGTGATACTGTCAAAGCTGAATTAGTTCCGCAACTACTTCTAGATTCTATAAAGGAAATTTATCAAGATATTAATTCTAATCTTTCAAATTTAGATGCTATCGCTTTTAAAGAAGTAATAGCTGAACTATTTTAACGGACCAAATACATATTTGATTGTCTTAATTATGTTTAAAAAATATTTAAAACAATGTTTGAATTCCATAAATACGCAAAAAATACCTGAAGGATTAGGCGAAATGTTATTTCTTAATTAATGAACTATCTGCTGGACTAAACCTAATCGCTAGCTGTTATCTCATATTTGATGTGTAAAATAATATATAATTCCTGGCACAATGCTAAATTATGTTTAAAGAAGGTAGAACAACAAAAGTACCGATGAGTAATCTACGGTCCACATTTTCGTAGACAAATAAATAGAACAGAATAGCTGAAAAATCTTTGAAGTCAGTTTAATTATTAAAATAGTTATAGAACAGTATTACCAAAATTAGTATAACGAAGCTATAGTTAGTAAAGATGAATATTAACTGGCAGTGGGACTTAGGACGCGCGTTTCGTTCTACTTCGGACTCGTCAGCTGGATTTACTTGCATCCCAGAGTTGGTGTTCACTCCGAGATGAACATACGCCAATAAAAGACTGATCAATTGCAGTCCTAAAAAGCAATGGGAAGATTCAAACAAACGAGATTAATTTAAAGCTATAGTTGTTTGCTACTTCTAAAGTTCTATAAGTCTTTCTTTGTCAATTTTCAAACCGAATTCAACTCGTCTCACTAGTAGTGTATATGCATATAATCTATCAGTGCATGAAATATCCTTTTGAATGTCATTAGTCGTAACTCAAACGTTTTATCTTTGTTCAGCGTGAACTAAAATTCCTCACTTTTAACGTTTCAGTGTGAGGAGTCAATGATACTTAATTGATTCGTCTATTAACAATAATTTTGCAATAAAGCATAAATGTAAATATGTATACTTATAGATATATACCACTGAATATCTTTAAATGTGTGATAGACTAGATGGAGTCTCTTGTTTATTAGAGTTCATTGGTTTACTTTGCGACAGATAGATGATAAGTATAAGGGAATTATTAGTGAGAAATTATCCCTGAAAATCTTATTTTGAAAAAAGGATGGATACTGTTTATATTATTCTTCCATGTCTTTAAACAAAACACAGGAATCAAAAAATGGTACCACTCAACGTATTACACCCAAAGTAATCATGTCTGAATTAAGTAAAGTTATTCAACCTGAAGAATTCAGTCAAACAAGTGATTTACACCAACCAATTGTACAAAAGTTTGGTGAAAAATTAAATAACCGGGGAAAGATTTGGTGTGCGATTTCGGCAGATAGAGCTGTTAAAAATGCCTTAGCATTTGACATTCTTGAGAGTATTTTACTAGGACTAATAAAGTTTACGGTACCAAGAATTGTAAGTTTTAATTGTATTTTTCTTCTGGTATTCAACTTGATTTCTGCATAACCTATCAGTTTAATTGAGTCAATAGTGATGGTGAAGTAACCACATTTATAAAATGACCTCAGTTACAACAGATAATTCTAGTAATTTCATTCGATTAGATCAAAAGTGTTAAATACATCAGGAAGAAAACAATAAATAATCAGAGCGACTCATCTAATGAACGTGTACGTATATATTTAGTCGGTGTTACAACGATATGTATCATATGTATTTAAATAGTCTGTTACAATGTCCTATCCTTATAGAAGTAAAAGGTCAGACCACGACATCGATCCGTGATCATTAGGATCATGTAAAAAAAGGCTGTAGACTCTGTTAGAAGTGTTGTGGTCTCTGAGTTGGATTGTTTGGTTGTTTAGCCTTCATTGTTCGTCTGAACAACATAGTCATTATTCGCTTCAAAGAGAAGTGAGCTACTAGAACTTCTTCGCAAATGACTAACAGCTTATTGCGTTGACCTGGAATTTGGTTGATGGTCATCCAAAACCATTTGGTCGTTGTTTTTACATTTGTTCTGGTTGTTTTCTCTCTCGACCTGAGTCCTGACCTCATCGTTTACGTTTACATGCACAACAGTTAGTTGTTAGACGACATAACACAGCTTCGCATATATCAACACATGTGGACAACCGTGGTTTTGAGTTGGGAACGCTGAAATATTAAACAAATAAAACACACAACAAGCCAGAGTTTTTAGACGTCTGGAATTCTAATTGGGCGTCAGTTAATAGGCACATCGGAAGCAACTTTACCTGTCAGTCAGTAAGAAAATGCATTTAAAAAATGCGAGGCTAGGGTGTAGGTCGGGAGAGAAAATAACAAAAAACAACGACCACACGGTTTTGGATGACAATCAACCAAATTCCAGGTCATTACAATAAGCTGTCAGTCATTTGCGGAGAAATTCTAGTAGCTCACTTCTCTCTGAAGTGAGTAATGATGTTGTTCTGAAGAACAATGAAGACTAAACAACTAAACCACAGCAATTGCGAAATCCTCATATTGAGCTACAAATATTTTCCATCAACTGTAGACGTCCTTTGTATATTTTACAGGATTACAGAAGCTGAAAACCAAACGATGTTAATTAAAGTCATTCACCATTTTTCAAACCTACGTATGTACTATCGACCTACAATTTTTATTTCCTGTGTTTTCCAACATTCGATTATCTTGTTTGAGCTACGTGTTACTGTCGGTGTTATGGTTGTCACTGTTTTATTGCTTATTTTCAAATGTTCACTCGAAGAAATAGAAATAAAATAATGGTATACTGAGGCCATCGTAAAGATAATGATAAGCGAATATTTTTTGAGCACGTAGACAAGGTGTCATTTCACGGCGAGGAAGAGCCTCTGCTATTTTGAAGAGTTGAATGGGAAGAAATCTTGGTATATTTTGTCGTATTCTATAAATATCTTTAAAGTCAACATGTGAATTAGTTGAGTGATTAGAGCTGAGTAAATGTTTCGTGATGGAATTCCTAACAGCCTCTCTCACTCTACTGGGAAATGTTCTCGTATCCGTGTTAAAGCGATCACTAGATACGCCCTATGTGTCTCAGTTCACAGGAGTAGGTAGGCTATTCGGTGGATTGCGAGATGACTAGACTAGAGAGCCTATCCTTCACAGATATGGAAAGCAGATTTCAGTTCTTAACTTTAATGGCAGTTTTGTTGTATTGATCTTCCTCTCAATTACTGAAGGTAAATGATTTCTAAGTATATTGGAATTTTGGTCAGGTAGGTAGATATGGAAAGAACATAGAATGGGATTTAAGTGAACATTTTCATCGCAAATGGCGAGCGTGTTATCCATATGTCTTTCCGTAAAATCTAAATTGTTTGATGACCAAACTAAGTTGTTTGTCTTCAAGCATAGACGTGAAACACTGTGGTATTAGTAGTTCTAACGGGGTCCCATAGCTATGTCTTCCCTTTGACTTTATACTTAATTGTTAAAACTCAATCAGGTGTTGAAAATTCGAAGTAATAATAGCCCTTTCAGACGGTTATTTCGCAAACTGGCGCCTGCGTTGTGTATGTTATTATAGTCACAGATGTAGTGCATAGTGATCATTAGTTAGCAGAGAACTAACAACAAGGAAGACCTGAGTTCTCCAGAATTTGAAAGACACTTTTACTTAACATATCTTTTATAAGGGTAAATTATTAGTTTACATTATAATGAGATAGGGAGTGAAAGAAATACATTAAAGTACTATACTTTGAAACACTTCGGAAAGAGGAAATCAACTACATTGTCGTTTCAACTAAAAACCATGCCAGTTTTCCGTTGGACTAATCTCGATAGCATCACTATAGTTGGTAAGCCCTGTCATGCCTTAGTTTAAATAGCTTATCCCATTTTACTTTAGATAAGATTCCGATGAATATTTTTATGTTACAGATTAGGTTTACAATGGGAGAAGAATTCGTTTTTATCATTATTTTTGAACAAACAATAAGTGATACTATCAAAGAGTTGACTACCAATGAATATAATCTTCAGTATAAAATCTTGCGGATGAATCGGCTAAAAATGGTAATTCAGTAGTCAAATAAAATTTCATTGTTTTTAAAAGAAAAATAGTATGTTTGCTTGGTTGTATTATAAAACTATTATTACCGTCTTAGTTTATATGCTTTCCTATGATTCTTCTTATTTAATCTCAATTCAATTTATTCAAACACCAAAAATAATGTAGGAGTCACAGCAGGTAGTACAAATCAGTTATATCTGTCATTGACGTCCACTGACACTTTTCATTGGATTTCAGTAAATAAATAAACATGTCGTTTTGTGCACTATTATGTTTATGGTTTTCTCTTTTCCTTCGTCGCCACTGTTATGATATCTTTTATATTCCAAGATGACAAGGTTGGATGGACGTAGGGATCACAATAAAAAAAACGTTAGTATATTTATAATTTTTATGTAAGGAGATTCTAGAGTCTTCTAAAAGCATTATCCAGTGTTAATTGATTAAGAAATAGCCAATCAGCTTGCCCCAACACAATCCTGCATGGAACATGTTTTAATCTGATCTTTATCCTGCTAGCAACATATGAAATCCAGATGAAGGTAGGATCCCCCTAATTAAAATAAATCGGTAAAGTGATCCAATAAACCTACATTTTCCTTTAGAAATATTTCCAAACAATTTGGTATTTATCAGTATAGGGTTGTGGAGATTGTTGAGTTTAATTCGATGTCATGAATGGATCAATGATAGACCATCATTGATCCATTCATGATGTCAATCTAGAAATTTTGTATGTGTTCGACTGGATTTTTTTTTACTTCAGCTGTTTTTCGATCAATAAGCAAGGAAAAACACGTAGTATAAGAATATGAATTAATCTAAATATATATGACATTCGGCGATAGTAAATGTATTTACTAAATATTTATGAGTTCCTTAATAACACCGTTGATCATTAACGGGGTACATTATTATGGTATCAAGCATGAAGACTTGAAATTCTCCAAATAAGTATTGTGTTGCCATAATATACATGTTTGTTGAAAATCTCGTTTCCCCCATTTAGAACCCTTGATCAATCTAAGATATACCTTTGGTTTAAAACATTTATATATTGTTAACTACATTAAAGAGGTTTTGTTTTTGCTTGTAAATTGTGCATTACTAATGGCGTTTAGATATTTAACTCTTTATTAGTTGTGTCAAGTAAGACATATTTTTTGTATGTCATTTATGACAAAACCAATGACTAAACTATAACTTCATTATTTTAATCACTAACTTACTTAACTCCAACCAAAATTTGTACACAACCTAGTCTACAGCGTTTATCGGCTCTCAGGTAGGTTCCATAATGAAAACATTACAAGCGCTATATCCATCCCACCATTGTTGTTGGAATGCGTTAAAATTTTACATAGGTATGAATGGACTTTGTTTCCTTAAATGGATTTTGTACCGCCAGCTTTTCCTTCGGATAATTATGTAAAATTAAAAAAATAAAACTATGTAAATCATGACAATTGTATGATGTGTGACGTAATGTTTTTTTAACTATATTAATTGATAAATTGATATTATCACGTAAATACTGGTAAAAACTTATTACAGATCGATAAGGTAGCAAGAAAAAAGCCTGGTGATGTACTCGTTTCAATGGCTATTGACTCATTATTATCACTTTCAATGCCTGGTCCAATTACTGGTACATATACAAACAATTCGACTGAAGAGAAACTATTAAAAAGTTAAGTATAATTCGAGGTTGTGGTTTTATCGTTTATGATTGTGAATGACTTTGAATAAAGTTTGCTAGCTTAAGTTCATGTCAGCGTTACAATCAATTGAGATATTTGTAATTACATATAGTTATTATATTTTATGGACATCATTTTATTTTAATATTACACTACGAGTTGAGCCTATATCTCTCAAGCTTAGAACATTTAATGATTATTTCACAATGAATGTTTTCACAAGAATATTCTAAGTTGCTTAAAAATCCATATTAATGAAATAGATTCCGTAGACCGTAGATTCCGTGTAGATGATTTTCAACCAGTGAATGTGTCTTAAATTACTGGCATCTTTTGTCTAGATGGGCCATATGAATGCTATTTAGGGACCTACCACACTCAATATTCTCACTAACCTTTAAAACTGTTCGGAGGATATGTAACGGGAATTAGTTTATAACTGGCACAAGATAGAGATATTTATCAGGCTGACATTAATACTAGTCAGATGGAATTTCGTATTTATCGGGTAAGAATTTGAGCAAGTCTAACTTTGTTTCTTAAGTAATGGTTTTCTTAAACAAATATAAACAGTTTTCATGAAAGCGTCTCCTCAATTCAATTACATAATTTTCTTAAATGTCGCTTTTGTGACCCTAATTAAGATTAATAGGTTGTCTAGGAAACCGCTTTTAAATTTATTAGGGAGAACGCAGCTAGAAAAATTTTCTCACTATTAATTTAATTTGGTCACGTGTCAAAATGATGAACAACATTTAAGATAACAAACCTTATATTCTGGAAATAGAGGTCTTCGTAAATCTTTGCCTAATCAACTGTTTAATGTAAGAAAACATTGTCGCAGAGATGATAATTTCAGTCATTCTACGAGACAGTGACTTTTACACTTAATTTTACATGAAATAATTCTGGATAGCTTTATTATGTGTTCCACATGCATACTTTCCAACATCGTAAATTTGATTCTTCAAGTGTATTCTACGAGACTACGAATGATGTTTGTTTGAATTTGCTGCCAAAAAATGAAAGTGAAACATTTGGAACACTGGTGTGTTTAAATGTAGAATGCATCATAAGTTTACTATTTGTTTTGTTTGTCAATTAGCTTTAGTTTGTGACGTATTGTTAAACCGAATTTGTTCAGTTGATGAAGCTACCAATAGAGTTGGTGAATGTTTGCCCTTGGCTACGTATCACGACATGATAAGTGAGGATATAGTGAGTACATTTAATAGATTTATTTATTAAACTTTGAATGACACTAGACGAGCAAGAAAATGTATATTTTTCTTACTAGTTTTTTTCAACAATAGCTACAGCTCACTGACTCAAGCTGTAAAATTTCATCTTATGTGGAATAGTATTACCCTCCCTCCATCATCTAGGCACATTTGAAAAATTTTGGTCCAAAACATACTACAGAAATTCACATAACACGCTGAGATATTCACTACCAGTTTAATGTAAAGTGTTTTATCAAGTACTTTACATCACTGCTTTAAGTTTACGAAAGTGAAAATAAAATATGACTGTTTCACTTTTTTATTTATTTGAAAATAATTAGTTGTATTCTGAACCGAAAATAATTGATGAACTTCCGAAAGCATCGATTACTGGATAATTTTCTTAATTTACTTTACCCGTCAACAGTTTATCAGGATTAATAGTTAGCTTAATAACTTGACTTTTTATTGATGATGAATTAATGGGTGTCTTAGATTTTCATTTTAAGACAATTGATTTATGTAAAACAACGTGTCTATCTACATAGTAAATCTTGTTTGACTTTGGAATTTTAACCAGTGAGATGGTTCAGGTTGGCATGGCTAACTGGAGTTGTCAGATTTTGTCGTTGTTGTGTGATTCATCACTAATGAGTAGAGAGATTTTAACGATTTAGGCGATTTGCTAAATATATCTCACTTTGAAATTATTTTTGACAGCGGATTGAGATTTGGTAAACCATCACGATAAACATTTTCTATTCCTGAGGCTGATGCTCACATCTCCTTTCTTTGGCATCTTGATGAGGCATACTTCTATCTAGTCTGTCGGTACTTGTTCCTCGTCCCAAATCTTCCTGAATAGAACGCAGAGCATACTTGCAGTTACTTCTATGTCCGACTTCATTGCTTCAGCAGGTATATTCCCCGGTTCTGGTGATTTCCATTTCTTGATTTGTCTGATGGTCATCCTGATTTCGTCTGTCGTTGGTGGAGTGACATCCATTGGAATGTTTGTGTGTGTTGCTACGATGTTTTGTAGGTTCAGTGGGACTGGTCTATTAAAGGGCATTTCATTGTGTTATACCCACATGTTACGGTGTTCTGCAATCTCAGTGATTGGATTGAATTCTTTGTCCATCACTAGTCTATCTGGTTTACCATATTTCCATGCTAGTTTCTTCGTCGCGTCAGATAGTTGTTTCATATTTCTTTTTCTTGCAGCTTTTTCCGCTGTCGTTGCCAGCTCTTCCACGTATCTCTGCTTGTCAGCTCTAATGCTCCCCATCACTTCCTTGCTTGTTTCTGTGTATTGAGCTTATGCCTTAACTTTCTCTGTTCTTGTTCGACTGTTGTTAATTTCTGTCTTCGTGTTCTTCCTTGAATCTTGTCCAGGGTTCCCATGGAGATCTATTCCCTATAATGATGCTTCTCGCCCTCCCCAGGACCTCCAGACGTTTGATCTTCCGACGTTATATTAACAAGTTTTTAACTATAACTCTCCTGAGCTGGTGTATGAACTTACATCTGGTTGGCCAGTTATTTTATGTTTAAAAAACATGCATTGATCTTTCGTTTTTGATTAAATTAATTTCAATGTGATTTGTAAATCATATTGTTGTATCGAAACACTTATCAGTTTGGCTCGTTTTAGTACTATTCTAAATTCAAAATTTACGGATCCCAAGGTTCGATGAAAATCAGTTTTTGAAAAATATAAATTTATAGGATAAATCAGTGCCTAGTTTTATTCAATTCATGTAGCTAGATAAACACAACTTAAAAGTTCAACACTAAATAAATTCATTTTCATCAGTTTTTTACAGAAGGATTAGAAATGTTGAAATATCACATTGATAACGACCTTGAAGATATTGATCTCATAGAAACTCATCAAGAAACTAAGCCAGGTATATTTTTATGGCAAATTTTAAATATGGTAAATTCTGAGATTTTAAATGTTGAGATATCTGATAATCTATTTCCTGTACAGAAATAAAGCCAACCCTTCTGTACTTCAAAGTCTTATCATACTTGAAATCGTTGCTGTACTTATACATGTTTGTTTACTATGTGTCTTCAGTTGTGTCTAAGTCACAGTTCCTAGAGTTGAACACTTAACAGTTTTGATTTTCACTGTTTACAATTTAATATAAACCATGTTAATAAATAGATGCAGTCACTCTTAAGATGATTAATGTTGTAACGTTTTCTTTATGACAAATTGTGTCTATCCAGTCCAGTGGTAAATTGATGAATGGATATTTTATTCATTAAGATAAAAATCGAGATTGTATATATCTCTGGCTGTCCATTTTGAAAAATATTATTTGGATTTCTCTCTCTCTTTGATCCTTTCGTTCCGAGAGGTTATGCACGGTGAATACAATTTGTAATTGAAAGTATAAACTTATTACTTTGATTGAGATCATGGACCGATTGATGGAGCTAATCCGTGTCGGGTAGAAACAGGTGTCTACCTCAGTACAATGGAAGATGGTCGCGCAATTTCGTGGATCGGTTGAGGTTATACATTAACACCACTGGATGCCGGCTCAGTGGTCCAGTAAGTTAAGCGTTCGTGCGCGAGACTGAAGGCCCTGGGTTCGAGTCCCGCGGGCGGGATCGTGGATGCGAACTGCTGAGGAGTCCCACAGTAGGACGAAACGGCCGTCCAGTGCTTCCAGGTTTTCAATGGTGGTCTAACATAAATCGGTTCATGATCTCAATCAAAAACTTAACAATCTCCACAACCCCTAAAATGATAAAAATTATTATTGTTGTTCATATCCTATTTGCTTCCACTAACTAGATTTGACTCAAGCATTTGCAATAATCTCTGTTTGTTGCGAATGCACAATTTCAGCTACTCTTAGTGGCCCTTTATATGAATCCATTTAAAGCGTGGGACTATCGTTATCGATTTATACGCATCGTCAGTCCTCGTATATTAATTATCGACTTAACTCGCGTTAATGAATAGCAGAATTAAATAAGTCAAATACGAGAATGCAGTTTCGAATACGTATATTTTGTACAATCGTTGATCAGAACAGACAATCAGAGACGGAGCAAAGGAAATGAAGAGAAGAGAGAGAAGCGAAACTAGATGACACACAATGGAGGAGGCGTGTGAGCCAACTCGACGTAACCGAGCGTAAATCAATATTTATAGTCAGACGAAAATAAGTTACAGATATGTGCACACATACGCTTACATAAAAACAACCAAGGTTGATAATCCAGTAAGTGATAGGGTAAAAATGTGGCTAGAGAAGAACGCATAGATTGATCTGTCCAGAGGCTAGAATAACCTACGTGTGCTTGACATAGAACCGGCCTTTATAGACTCATAACCATAAGTGAATGTCATTTAAAGCATACCTAATGATTTAATTTTGTTCCTTGAACATTATACAATACCTGTGTTTCGTTCTGGAAAAATAGCACAAGTATTTCTTCAGTGCAACAATTATGTTTTATTATTGTTTTCTATTTTTTTCTACAGTTTTTAATGCATACGGATAATGTTTTCTATGCTGATACTAATGCCGATGAAGGATATTTGTTTGTTAACTAAGGATTGGTTTTGTGACCCCTATTTTCATAACAATCGGAAGTCATCATTGTGAAGTATCCGTTATTTTCGGAAAACTCATTTTTAGCACAAAACTTTAATCGTATACACAGAATTTCAGTGCTACCAGATTTTTCCTCTATAAAATACAGTTTGTAAAATAATAGTAATCATAAATTTGTTTATATTTTATTTAAAGCAGTTTTCAGTGAAATTTATTCTTGCATTTCACGAGTAATAATACCTTTGTAATCAATAGTAAGTTGTTTATTGAAAAGAGTGAGATTTTCTAGAGGGGACGCGCAATTGAGTTTGATACCACGGTCCTCCTTCATTGGCTGACTTTCAAGCGGACCCCGAGGAGTTCTGTACGTATATGCACATATCCATCGTTCGTTCTCGAGTAAAGTAGTAACGAAAATTCTGCTTTCGTTAGTTTTCTCATTTGTTGGGGGCTAGATAGAGAGTCTTTATTGTTACATTACTAGTTAGGTTGAACAAGTGATTGACCACCGAGTAGTAACCGCTGTCATATTTGTCTAGCCCTCTTATTAGTGCTGACCGAATCCGACCAATCAAGTTGCAATATATTCACTGGTCTAAGTGACTTAACATCGCGCGAACTTGGGACATTGAGTGGTTGTAGGTAGTCAATAGGGGACTCTAGACCCAGGTTTCGTGCTAGTTGGCACTTGTTAACATGACGTACCTATAATGCTGAGAAAACTGGTGATCTTTAATGAATTCAATCCCGTTTCACTTAACCTCAGAGTTTGCGTAGTTACGACTGAAATATTCGGGCTATGAATGGCCAAACAGACCTGGTTTTATCACTGCTCAGTGATGAAACAATTGTAAATATCTCTGTCCGAACATTTGAATGGTAACTATTCAGACTCTGAAGCCGAGTGAAACGAGATCGAGTCCATTAAGGATAATCAGTTCCCTAGACACTATAGGTACACCTAGCTAACGAGTATCGACTTGCACGAAACCTGGGTATAAGGTTTCCTGTCGACTGCCTGCAATCAACTTACATCCCAACAAAGTTCAGTTAAAATTTATTATGGGTTGACAAATGAATTTCCTTGGATTGAATAATTTGAGACAGGTCTCAGTGAAACTACTAATTACTTAATAATAATATGCCTAGTAATAATATGTCTAGTTTCTAGTGTCGACTGACATGGATTTTTGAATGTTTTTAAAAGTTTCCTTTTTCAGAATATAGGAGTAGATAGATTCTAAAATCGTCAATTTCTGAAGATTCAATAAATTGTATATGTTTGGCGTTGAAGAGCTCAGGAAACAGAGATTGTGATTAACATTTTTTCCCGCAGTTTGTAATCAATTACAGGCTTTTCAAGAATCATCTCACTAATAATAGAGGATTTTCCTCTTTTAAATCATCTCTACGTATCTGTAAGAATAAGTATTGCAATTGATTAAATATTTGGCTTTTTACAAATTTAAATATAGTGAGAGGAGAATAACTATGATGGTTATCAAAAAGAATTAATAGTTACATGTTTTCAAATTAGGAAATGAGCACTCTGTTAAATAACCGTTATTAAGTTTGAAGCAGGAGACGAAATATTTAGGAAGCCAAATGCAAATAATTCAGATCTTGAGGACGTAGTAATCGATTATTTGTGACGAAGAAGTAGTAACTGTAAGAAGAAAATAAAACGATACAGGTAAATTTGTTTGGAGTCGTAGATTTCGAAGTTCCAAAAATGAATATTGGGTATTTTTATCAGGAAAACTATTTACTAACTACTGTTTCCAGAAATGAATTGCAACAGTTATTGCTATGTAGGACAAGTTTTCCAAGGCGAAATAAATATATCCTTTCATCGTTTTAATACATTTGATTTGAGAGAAATTGTTGTTTTGTGCTGTATCCGATTGTGAAACAAGCTTTCTATACATGAGTCCAAGCGAATAGATTAGTGAAAAGGAGGCCATCATTCCCATCCATGGAGTACTTCACTTCTTAAAAAAGGAAGCCATATCTTTGGCAGTCGCTTAAGTTTATCATTTGGCAGATGCCTAGTTGGGCAACTGTATTAAAAAAATTAATAAACAAGAATCCAATTAAATACCTTAATTAGTACAAATTAAAAGCCATTTCACGTGCTTTTCTGTTAGTTAAGTTACAATCTTTACATGATATTAAAATAAGATAGTGCTAGAAACTACGAAATGCATTCTGTGTACTACCTGAGTAACTAGTGTGCACGGCAACAAGTAAACTTGTAGATGGGCGTTATGGTTGACCAAAACACAAGATTGTCTCAAAAATCATTTGTCGGTATGTTTAAATCATAAAGTGCTCAACAAAAAAGCAGTTATTTATCAAAAATGAAGATTCCAGCTTCTTTGTAATTCCTGCTAGTACATTTATCTTTTGGACTGACATTCATTAAAATAACTGTCTTTTACAATGTAGCAAATCGTCTTTTATGATAGACTTGGAGCTATTAAATATGTCTCCAAGTTTAATACTTTTAAGCTAATTATGGTGACTTAATTAATATTTACTTCTGTCAAGCTTACTGCAAAGGATTACTTACCCAGGTATCAGCATGATTTTACAAATCGGTTAACAGATTTGTTTACAAACAGATGGTCGATTTCGGTCACTAAAATTCCACCAAAGCTACTTTCAATAGTTAAGAATTGCTAACCTAAACGTTTGTCTACAAGTACCATCCAAACATGTAATAACTACCTTAGAAATATTCGTCACATTTTATGATGTTAAAATCAGAGTTCACAGGGCTATCAAATATGCTTAATTTAAACGTTGAAATCTGAGTTGTTTATGTCTACACAAAAAGATTAGAGGGAGTAACCTTCTCATGGAGATAAATTCTTTGTATATAGACATTTTATTTAAAGAAGCTTAATCGCATGATAAATAGCATCATCGAAGCTCAGTGCGTAATAAGTTCTTAAAAGATATTCCATTTTAACAAACTTCATTTTACTATGTGGAGTAACTCCATAAAGTATAAAGGATAATCTCCGAATAAGATCGTTGCACAGTTCCTGTGAAATATGTCACAGTAAAGTTTCACTTGTATGTCGAGAGTAAATATTGTTAGATACTGATGTTGAATATTGCATGCAGCTGAACAGAGACCACGAAATATTATGAATTCAAATTATTCTGCCTTAATTCTTGTATTTCACCCTATTCGAATATTGTTGGTCTTTCCCGAACTCATTCGTCTGTCAAATAAACTGAAAGAGTAATTCAAATCGATCATCTGACTTTAAGCATTGTTTCTTGTAAACAGTTTTCGGATATCACAACAAAGGTTGAAAATTCAATATTATTTGTTTGGAAGATTTGTATTATTAGTTTTTGATGTTTATGACTGGATTTCGTAATTCTTTGTTGGTAATATGAGGTCTTTTAACAAGTCGATTGTATTTTAAATAGCAATTAACAATGTCATCAAACAAGCATGCTTTGTTATTTCATAGAATAATTTTAAAGATTTCATATCCAAACCGAAACAGATCATATTCCTGAATACGCTTACGATTTGTAGGAAATAACATACGCGTTTAGCAAGTCGGTGTTTTTAGTGACTCATTAGCCTTACAAACAACATATTAATGTTTAGAACGATGAACATTGTGGTTCCAGTCTGGAAATTAACATTCGCACTATGATCCACGTATAATCAGTCAACGAATCACTCGTGGAATGTAACAGAATTCACCGATTTCACTTAAGCCACTACTAATAGTGCAGCCAACTTTACAATCCAGTAGTTGATAAAGTGTTATGTGAATTAAACATTACTGTTAATGGAACTATGAATTTCCCGTAGTGTTTGTAAATCAATGCATGTACAGATAAAGCGACCAGAAAGATGTCCAAATAATTTCTTTATTTATTATTTATTTTAACACATAGATATTGGTAAAAGGGGGCACCAAATACATATGCGCCACACAAATCTCATTCGATATATGTGAGGGCTGTGATACTGCCTAGGTGCCCAAACCGAAGCAGGTTGATTGAAAATAAACGTAAACATGGACGTGTGAAGTGTTAAAGGATGGTAAGTTTACGTTACACAACCAGTAATCTGCCAACTGAGCAATGAAAAGAAGCTGATATCCACGCCCTGGTTGCAATTTAGTTGCTAAGTGCTATCCGCAACTGCCACATAAATGAAAGAGAATTAATTGTTCACAAGTTATTTAATAAATCAGTCAACCAGCTCTTACCATTAATCAAACTGGATTGAGTTAAGGATAAGAAGAAACTTATCGCATAGAGATTTGACCGCGTGATACAGCCTAGATATCGAATATAAAAATAGTAGCTATTAGAGTTTTAGTTTGGTAGCTTAATTGTAACCAGTTTAGCCATCAGCTTGAAAGTTTCGGCATATGATTATTTTATGAGCAAAGTTCTCTTGTGTTTCCAACGATAAACTCGTTTACCAAGAAATTAATTTGCTACATTGAACTAGTTAAAGTAATCTGACTATTAATAAGTTAATGTTTAGAGATAAACCGTGTCGGGTGTGAGGTAGTTACCCACTGAAGACGATGAGAGATGGTCACGCAAAGTCATGAACTGATTGAGGTTATACATCAATGCCGTTAGATGCTAGCTCAATGGTCTAGAGGTCAAGTGTTCGGGAGCGAGATCAAAGGTCCTATGTTCGACTCCCAACTCCGCCTGTAGCTCTTCTAGAGTTACTGCCGGTCCCAAGCCCGGGTAAAAGAGGAGGGTTGGGCATGGGATTAGCGACCCCATCCAGTAGGAAACTAACTCGCTAAAAAAACGCCAACCAGAAATGTTCGATTCCCACGTTCAAGATCGTGGATTGGCGCTATTGAGGAGTCCTGTATCAGTATGAAATGGCCATCCAATGCTTTTAGGTTTTCAGTGATGGTCGAACTTAGATCGGTTCAAAATTTTAATGAATATTTAGAGTTATAACTAGAATCCAGGCATTGAACACATCTCCATTCCATTATTTATTTGGAGATAATGTATTTTTCTGATAATCATCTAAACTTTTATCCGACAAATATGGGCACAATGCCTAAACTTTTATCATCAGTCAATCATTGCGGAATAACTCAATTACAAACAAATAGATAAACTCTGTTATGGAATGTATGAGGTGATATTATTAACTTTTTATATTGTCTTACAAAACAATTTTATATTGTTGTAGGCAAAGAACGGGTCACAACCCCCCCCCCTATTTAACTCACGTATCCATAACGATTTCATTTTGATATGTTTTTGTATTAGGGATATCTATGTAAGTATAGATAACGCTGATATATTTGTCATAAATTACGTGTTGAGAAAATGTATCATGTATACAACATATGGTGGATTACCGAT